ATATTCATACAGTATTTTCTAACAATTTAAGAAATTGGTTTCTGCTAGTGATGGTGGCAGATACCTGTAATCCCAGCATTCAGGAGGCTGAGGAAGGAGGATCTCCACAAGGATGGGTGGAATTTAGCTACAGAGTCAGGGAACACCTGTCTCATCAACAGGTGCAGACATGGGAGAAATGAGCAGAATCTCTTTACTTGGTATGCTTTAACACTTTGTTGTATATTGTCTTTTTAAATCCTCTTGGCAACTTCAGTTGAGGAATTATTCTCATTCACTGCTGTTGACCTAAGGCTCCTGACACTAAATATTTTCTCCAGCCACAGAATCAGAGACTGGCTCAGTCTCTCAACTTCTGTGGAGAGTTTGGTATGTTCATAAGACAAGTGTGACCACGAGATAGAAATAAAGTAAGTGATAAAGTTAGAAAGACTGATGTGGATAGATTAGGCATGGCCTTTGGTCAGTAAAACTTGTAAGAATCTGGACTTTCAGAGCTCATTGGGGAGTGAGCAGTGAGGAGACCGTTTACTTTTAAGCCATTGGTTATGCTGTGATTCCATAGTAGTGAAGTCATAGAATGTAATAGGAAGGATAGATTTCAGAGATACTGTGAGGTCCAAATTCTCAGGTGATATATTGAATATAGTTGGTCAATTAATAGGGAAAAATCAAAGCCAATTTATGATTTTTGACTTAGGTCTTAGAGAAAAAGTTGTATGTTGAACAGAAAATAAAGAACTCTGGAGAGATACCTGATCTTCATGAAAATGAGTTAAGTTTGTGATTCCATTAAAACCATGCAAATGGATAAATTGAGAAATGCAATCAGGTGGCATGAAAGAATTGGAGCTCAGGGGAATGTTGGGATTGTACTCAGTTTTATTTGAAGATAGAATGAATGTAGAAGGTTGGTGTCTGTGCCTTGGGCAAGGCTCATTATGTTAGGGGCAGCAAAAGATGCTGGTTCCTGTTCTCTCCACTGTCACAGCTCTCTTTCTGGTTCTCATGACAGTCTTCTGTCACAGCTATCCTCCAAGTGGCAGTAATAGGGATCAGTCTGAAATATGTCTCATGCATAATAGAGTCTTGGCACGTTAGCACTGTTCTGCTTCTTGCCTCCCTCCAGCTCTTCATCACCAGCCCTCCCACAAGGATAATGGTAATGGCAGCTAACTGAACCATTTTAAAGCAACCTCACTATGCCAAGCACTGTGCTTCATGTACATTATATAAATCGTTACATCAACCTTGCAAGTATATCTATATATGTCTCTATATATATAAAATGAGGCAATTAGGTTTACAGAAATTACACAGATACTAGTTAAGTAGCAAAGCTGATTATTAAACCTGGTATCTGTAACTACAAAGCCTACTCAGTGGTGGCAAACTTTTAGAGACAAATGCCCAAACTGCAACCCAAAACCCACCTATTTATCACAAAGTGCCAACACTGCAATTAAACCTGAATACAGAATTTTTAGTCTAGAAAAAAACAACTCCTACATTAACATCTTTTGTCTTAAAAGAAAAACAAATAACATGTATACCACAGGTTTGCCACCCCTAGCCTAGGCTCTTCTGTGTTGTTCTTGTAGCTACTCAAACACATCACATGTCTGCCTCCCATGCCTTCCTTTGTTGCTACATCTCCTCATGTCTATTATACATTTACCTCTTACCCTACCCCCTTACCTCTCTAACTCCTACAGAGCCTTTAACCTCAAACTTAAGCTTAAGAGTATTTGAAGGAAATGTCCACTGCTCTTTCCTGCCTCTCCAGCTGGCCTCAAAGCTCATTCTCTGAGCTCCCGTAATCCTTTGCACATCTCTCATTGTTCTGAATACATTATAACTAACAAAGTTCTTATATTTCTCTATTTCTAGTGGGTTAGGGGTTTGCAAACTTTTTCTGTAAAGAGCCAAATAATAAATATTTCAGGCCATGTGGGCCATACAGTCTCTTGTAGCTACCCAACTCTGTTATAAGACATCCCAGCTCCTTGGGTGTGAAAGTAGCAGCCATGGCAGTACGTAGACAAATGAGTGAAACCAAATCCCAATAAAATTGTATGGCCACTACAGTTTGACTTTCATGTAGTTTTCACATGTCTCAAAAATTCTTCATATATTTTTTCAATGACTGGAAAAATATGAAAACAATTATTGGCTTGTGGGCCATACAAAAACAGGTGCAGGCTGGATTTGGCCCACAAGCTATAGTTTGCTCACCCTTGCAATAGAATGAATTTCTTGAAAGCAAGTGCTGGGTGTAATTGACCTTTGTATCCCTATTGGATGGTGCGTAGTGAATGCATGAGCCTACAGAATATTGGGAGAATGTAGGATCAAGAGAACCACTATGAAGTGGTGCATCCCAGCCGAGGGAGGGCTGTGATTTCAAAAAGAGTATCCTACAAATGTATCCTGTTAGAGTAATTGCACGCATATATATACCCATATTTAGAACACAGAATGATTAAAAGCCCTGAATATCTGTCTGTGTAGGATTGTTTTATGCTGTATCCATCTCTTCTGTGGTGTTCTCATGCATCCATGCCCATGGTAGAGGAAATAAAGCAGTACATATTCTTCAGCATTGAGTTTCTTTTTTAATTTAATTTTTTATTAACACGTATTAACTATACATATAAGTGCAGTCCAGTGTGATATTTCAGCCCTTGGGTACAGCATGCACTGATCAAATCAGAGTTCTGTAATTAGCATTTCCCCCTCCTTATCATTTATGTTTGGAGCCTACAAACTCCTCTCTTCATAAAATGCAGAATAGGTAATTGTGAACATAGTCATCCCACTACGTTGCAGAATACTGGAACTCATTTCTTCTGTGTTTTGGTACCTATTATCCAAACTTCTTTTACTCATCCCTCACCCCCCATCCCGCCCAGCCTCTTGTAATCACTAGTCCAAATTCAGGTTGATGTTTTTAGCTTCTACGCATGAGAACACATGCAGTATTTGTCTTTCTGTGTTTGGCTTGTTTTACTTCACATTTCATTTCTTGCTTTGACTACAGCCACATGTTTAAGCTGCCATGGTAATCAGGAAGCTCAGAAAACTCAGGCTCAAGGTACACTTCTTTTTATAGGACATATGCAATGCTTACTATGCATAGCCTATCCATCATAAAGGCCAGCCAGCAGGAGAAGACTCTCTATTAGTCTTATAATTATATATAATATATGATCTCTTAATGTTGTTGAGGGAATAATGGTAGTTATAATTGGTGTGTGGTTTTATTTTAAAGGTCTGAAAATTCCAGATACCTTACCATTGGCTAAGTGAACTATAACTGGATAGTCATTAAGAACCAGATGTCAAGAACTAGGCCTACCTCATACTGTAAATGACAGGGATTCTTCACCATGAGTAACTACACAGTGTTGTCAGCAAAGTTGATACAGAAAAGAAAGCTGGGCATGTGACCCACCCCTTTAATCCCCATTACTCAAGAAGTTGAGACAGAGGATCACAAGTTTAAAGCCAACCTGGGCAACACAGCAAGACTTTGTCTCAAAAAAATAAAAGTAAATGAGAAAATTTAAAAAGTAATTATACTTGAAGATGCCAATCTGTTTAGGATTATTAAAGCATTGTAAAAAAGATGAAAGTAAAGACACTCTTATAGTATGAGGCTAAAGGTACTGTATGTCGAATTTTTTTTAGAAAATTTGTGAGAACACAACTTCCCAAATATCTTAACCTATAAGGATAAATTCTAGATTGCTCAAATAGTTCAAAATAAAATGATCTTCAATTTTAAACATTTACTTGTTAGTAGACAGTACTAAATGATTTGTAAAAGTATAATAGAATAAGGTATTACTTATTTCCAGACTGTATCTCTTTTAGCAGTAGTAGTTTTTAACATCAATAGATTAGAACTCATACTAAATATGATGCACATTACAAAAAGCTGTGATTTGTACAAATATGAGTAAGAAATGATTCCTATCACTTGAATATACTCAGTCTAGACATGTCTGAAATCTGTTAAACATGTTTTTCTGAAAAAAACATTTCATGGTCAAATAAGTTTGGGAAACACTGGCTAAGCAACATTAATCAGATTTCTTCACTTTGGGATTACTCAAAATCCCCATGGTACTAATGTGATTTGACCATCAAGTCATTCTTTCTGGGAGCAACTCCAGGGACTATTCTATTGCATAGTTGGGTAAATACTGTCCTAAACCTTGTATTGAATTATTGTTTCGTCTACTGATTTGCCTCAAGCCCATTTGGTCAAAGACATTCTCATATAACCTTATCAGATTTTTTATCACTCTATTGTATGAAAAGAAGTGGAAAACGACCTTGATAAATTTAAGAAGATGTTGTACACTTTATCAAGGCTTTGGAAAATGAGTTTTGATAGTCCCCTGGACCTCATCTTTTAATAGGCAAACAGTAAAAACTGTTATCTTTCATTGTTAGAGTGACTATGCCAATCTGTTGTGCAATCTGGGATGCTTTGAGAGTGAAAGGTAATGTCTATAATGATTCTGGCTCTACAGGGGGAAACTAGAACTATCTCAGGCAGACTAGAGTGGTTATTCTGATTACAGTCTAACTGCAACAGTTGTGCAGTTTCATCCGGGTTCCTAATTATGTACTCTCCTTCTATAACCCAGTGGTTCCTGATTGATTCACAGGCTTCAGGATATATGAAGGATTCTGAGATTATTTACAACACTAATGTTTTACCTGAAACAGTGGCTCCAAAGAATATAACGGTACATTTCACAAGTGGCTTTCAAAGTGGGTAAAAGTAGAGATTCCTAATAATTAATTCACACATTGGTTTTTAAAATTTGTCTCTGCCAGAGAAATTTGTTTCAAGAAGTGCCAAGGTGTAAATTCATGCTGTCAAAATTAAAGCAAAGTCTACTGTGATAAACTTTTTAAAGCTAAAGCAGAAGAGAATAATTATTTCACATTATATTTAATCTTTTCTCTCTTCATTCTTTTTACAGTTTTTTGAGGTGCCATTTGACTCAAACATGAATAGAACAAAAAACAGACCTCTGGTCCGTGGACAAATCAGGTAAAATCATGAATATAATTCCCTTCTACATTCTAGAACCTTCATTTGCTTGTTTATCGGGAAATATTTCCCATACCTTCCCATTTTCCTTGAGCTATGAAGATAACAAACATACTTGGAGAAGGACTATTGGTCAGTATGCAGTACCTTGCACTCTCACCAAAATGTACCACAAAGTACGTAAGATGGAGCTAAGACCTGTAAGGGTGTGTGTGTGTGTGTGTGTATGTGTGTTTTGTGGGAATAATTTAAGCCACAGATTATTTTATTCAGTTTTGAGACATAGTCTTTGTTTCTCTTATAGGGGCTAAAGATAAAAACGTTGAATTAACACAAGTGATTTTCAGACACATCTACATAAGGCAGTGGTGGCAACCCATGGCATGCATGATATTGTGTTTTCCTTTTAAGACAACAGATGTTAATGTATGAGTTGCTTTTTCTAAACTAAAACCACAGTATTCAGGTTTAATTGCAATGTTGGCGTTTTGCAATAAATAAGTGGATTTTAGGTTGCAGTTTGGCACTCGGTCTCTAAAAGGTTCACCATCACTGATACAGGGTCTCTGAAGAAGGTTATGTCTAAAACCTTTTTTTTTCAGAAAAGCCACATAGAGTACTGCTTCCATTACTCTCCTTTTCATCAAATTCAATTAAGTGGAACTAAAAGGCATATAAATATTTTAATATCACTAATGGTTAATAATTAAATATTTTCTTCCTGTAGTCTCCTAAACCATCATTTTAAAATATTTTTTAGTACACATCACAATCCTAGAAGAATGAAATGGGCCATGTGGCTTACACTGACCATTCTAAATCAGGGAGTCCTCTATATTTCCATGCAGTGCCCTCACAGAACTTAAAATTATTACACTAACACTTAAAGATCAAATAACCACACACTAAACCAGCAAAGAAAAAAGAGGATACCATCATCTAAGTCTGAGTAAAAATTATTTTAAATATTAGCTGTTTTAGACATTCAATTTTTAATGAATTTAATATACTATTATATTTAATATACTATTAATATACTATTATATTTCAGATGAAAATATATAAGGGGGAAAAAAACCCAAGTGTGCTGATATTTTACTTCTTTCAGTGAAATATAAACAAAGCTATCTGTTGTTGTAAGATTAGAAGCTGTCAAAAGTGTTTTGTTTGAGTAAGGTAGAGAGGAAAATGCAATCTCTGCCACCCATCCCTGAAACTAAAGCTGCTCTGTCACTGGTCATATCACATGTAAGTTCTTAATGATTTGGAATTTCTGTCTAGTCATTTTTCCTCAGTGAAATTATGCTCTCATTTCCCATAAGATTTGATTGCAAAATGGGCTAAAGATTGAATGGGTTTACCCAGGATGGTCACATTTGCACCTGTTGGCACAGCAGAACCACTGATAGTGTCCTCTGTCACTTTCAATGTCTCCAGATAACTATATGCCATCCTGCATAAAGTGAGTGATGGTAATAATTATGATACTTTCAGAATTTCTTTATTTCTAATGCTATTTCATGGAAATTCTTACTGCTTATTTTGCCTAGAAGAGAAAAAGAACACAAAATGGAAAATATATCTAAATCACTTTGCTGGGGATACATTATAATACAGATCCCTGTTTGTTAAGTGGTACCAAGTCTCTTACTTTTTCTTACAATTCAGCAAAGATATAGCCAACCAGCTAGTTTGACTATTTTTTACAAATATGTCATAATTATAATCATTGCTGTGAACAGGGAATTGCATATAGACCTTTCTTTGGTCACATGTCAGAAACTCACACTGAAAGGTAAGCCCACTTTACAAGTTGAATCTGTAAATTCAGAATCATGTAATAAAGGTAAATGTCAGAGAAGTTTACTGTATTTAAAAGTGTGATTCAGTGTAATCCAGTGTTAACCTGGTGGCTGATTAACAAGTTAATCAGCAATGTTTAAAATTTTGTATGTTAGAAAGCATCTTGGTCTTAAGATATACTTCATATGGTAATCATTGGCTAGTGAAAAATGTCTGATTCTAAGCTTGGCAAGTCATTTAATAAATCTTCCCACACTACCATTTCCTCATGTGTAAACTAGGATCTTGTTTCCTAACTTGTTCATCTCATAACATTGTTATGAAGATAAAAGTAAGATCAATAAAGTTGTGTAAATCAAAGTACCTTGCTAGGGAAGAGGTTTAAAACTACGAAGAAATGTTGAATTTGTAGAACTTTAGTCTGTTGCCAAAATTGGCTTTAAAATATAAATATTTCAATACTTAGCAGACAGTAACATAAAAAAAGAAATCCAAGTTACTATACTTTCAAAGGAGTGGGGAAAGGAAGCAAAAACATTTGACCAAGAAAAGAATTTAGAGAGTGAGGATTGCACATTCCTATTGTCATGGTTAGTTGGTGGGCAGAAACTACTCAGTGGAAAGTAGTGGCAGGTTATCAAATCATTCATTCCTGCTGTCACCATTAAGGCACTTTTATGGAGAATGCTACCTATGTAGAAAGTATGCTATTTGCTAGAGTTACAAAGAGGTAAATGACACAGTTTTTCTTCTCTTAGAATCCCATTGAGGAAATGGAACCTCACTTGCATAAAAAAGATACTAAGTGTCATCAAAGATAACAGTCCACTCAACAAAAAAGATATTTCAGTGTACCTAGTAGGCACTCTGTTAGACCCAGGAGCTTCCATGATAACTATTTCTTTCACTTGCAAGGTACTGACTAAGCACCTTGTATATGATGTATTCAATACTATCACGAGGACAGGCCCCAGGTTGCGGGGCACGAAGAATGGTACCTAACATAAACTGAGGAGGTCAAAGATGACCTATCAGAAGAAATTAAGTCTTGAAGCCGAAAACCTAAAGATGCATATAGAAGCCACTCTGGCTCTTCCTGGCTAAGCTTTTTTCTGTTCCTTCCTCCTGGATCTGCTCCTTAGTTGCTGGTTTTCAGCTTTCTTATTTCCCCCTTGCCCTGCATACACTACATTCTATGCTATGTATACCTGTAGCCCAGATTGTTCTTCTGAGCCTGAGCCCTTTGCAAGCCTCTATTACAGTGCCCTATGTGTGTGTATATCACTTTCTCCCAAATCTGTTGTTTCCCTTATATATCTTAATATATATTCAAAACCCAGGCACTTATAAGCTGTCCTAGACATTTTGTCTTATCCCTTTTATCTGAGTAGTCAGTAAATCAAGTCTTCTTAGGCTCCTGGATTACCTTGGATCTGGGCCCTCTCACCCTGATGCTGCTGTAGCTTCACTGTTCGGTAGAATCCTCACAACACCCACCAACAGAAAGCCATTATTCTTAGCCCAGTGTGGTGGCATATGCCTATAATCCCAGCACTCAGCTGAGGTAGAAAGGATGCAAGATTGAGGCCAGCCTGGGCTACACAGTAAGTTCACAGCCAGCCTGAAGTACATATTAAGACCCTGTCTCAAACCAGAACAAAGCAAAAAAAGAGACATTACTATTCAGTCAGGTTCCTTGCTTTACACTAAGGCAGAATGGAATAAAGCCCTCAGGGAAACAGCCCTGCAGAATTCTCCACTCTGCTCCACTGGGAATCTCCCCAAGGCAGTGGTTTGAATGTCTAGCCACCTAAGTAGAGCCTTTCTTTGTCCCCACTTTTAATTAACTCCATGATTTTCAAATTTAGTGAACATAGTCATTATTTCTCAGATTCTATGCACATAACCTTGTGTGTACTTTATGGATGACTTCAGAGGATTTTGAGGGATAATTTTGAATGTAATATATTTTCACCTCAGGGCTGACCTACATAAGCTGAATAAGCTGCAGCTCTACTCTGTTTTCAGAAGCTCAAAATACATGTGGCCCTGGTACAGCGCTGGGTGCCAGCCTGAGCACTGCTCACTGCCTTCTGTATTGTCTTCCATGATAGAGAACATGCCACTGAATGTACTATATTTATGAAGAAGAGTGTGATAAGTAGTTATTTTTTTTAAATACTCAGCCATAGTAAAAACGTACTCTTTACATTTTAAGCAAGAGAAATTTTCTGTAATTTTTTAGCAAGTGTAATCTTTATTTTAAATTACTCACTGTGCAGTTTCCATCAGTGAAGCCCCAAGTGAAAGTACAGAGGGTGCCGGTCCTTTCCCAGAGAGGCCAGCGTGTCCCCATCCCTTTGACCATTCAGTGGCTGCAGAAGAGGTGCTGCTGGGTGATCTGGTGGGAAATCGCAGGCCTGCCACACACCATTCTGCAGCTCCTATGGCCTGGAGCCAGCCAAAAAAGGCCAAATCCTGAACATCCCTTCTTTGGGCACATGCTTGTGTACACATACATTTGTATGCGCAAAGCTAAATGAGGGCTCATCCACAACACATGTACCCTGCCCTTCTCTCCACTGGGCCTGCCCTGGCACATACGGTTCCCATTCATCTTCTAACTTCTGATGCTCCAAAGAGGATTCTGGCAAAAATCGGTTCTTCTAGCCCCCAGTCCCTGCTGAACAGTGATCCTGGGGAGATTCCATTTATCTTAGGAGCAAGGTGGCAGGAGGAGGCAGACCCAAGCCAGTGGTTCCCAAGGAGCCCTGGGAGTACTGTCCTTTGTCATAGGGTGGGATGACTTTAGAAGCTGTTCAGGAAACCAATCCCTCTTAGTCACCAGGAATGAATGGAACAAGTGCACTGTGCAGGTGTGTGTGTTAGGGTCAGGGGAGTGAAGGGCTCTCCAGTTCTTACCAGAGGGACCTGAGAAAGCTTACAACCACCAGATGAGAAAGCAAGCTGGAGATTGAACAAGGGTAGGGGCACTAAATTCAGGTTCCCTGAGAGTTGCCCCTTGCACCCTTGTCTTCAGAAAGCAGGGTCCCTCACCAGAAAGCACCTGGTACTGAGTGTCCCGTGTGACCATCCCTCCCGAATTGGCAGGGTTTAGCCTCCTGGTCTCAGCTTCCGGGGTCTACCTACCCCACACATCCTACACCATTCTCGCAAGTCCTACTCTCCCTGTGCCT